GTCAGTAGTGCTCCTGAACAGTTCCTAGTGTCGGTGTTTTCTAGTGCCATCAGGGTATAGAAAAACTAAGAAACATTATTTGTGCACCAGTAGTTGGCCCACGTCAAGGCAAAATACATTAGCATTAAGACGCTTATAATTATTATTTTCAAAACATTTGTTTCATTATTGATCATACGCGTTTACATATTTGTGCAATCTGTAGTATTAACGTTAACCGCATATCCCAATGCCATCTCTTACAGTAAAAGTAAGCACGCTACAATGTTCCAAATATAACTTCTTTTGCCGCATCAGCAACTTGTGGAGCCACAGAAGGGGACGGAACGTATTCACAAACACATTCACTACGAATTATCCGGGAAAATTACAAAGGGAAAATGAGCGTGCCAAGTAAATTGATTTTCATTAACTAATTGCATTTCGGAACAAAATGCAATACAATTTGCATCGCTTGGATCGCTTCATCACCTCTGTTTACCTTCCTCTCTCGTGTTTGTAAAGCATGTCTCTAGACTACGCACACTGGTGTGAACGATCTTTTTGACAGAAGTCACATATACAATACAAGTGATATCTGCACAGATACTGGGTCTTACAGCAGATACTAGTATCATCTATTTGAAAGAACAAACCGATGGTATAAAACGGAATTCAATGCAACTTGTGATGATCTTGTCTTCTTTACGACTTGTACGATAATTCTACAATAGGTAAATACAATTATATTATTCTTAGGGTTTTAGAAAAGCACGTAACGAATGAACCGCAAATCCTTACATTACTTCAAAAGATGATTTGAAGCTTCCTTCAGAGGTGAGCAGGTCTAATGGTTCGAGACACATCGCAAATACACATTATTATTATTATTATTATTATTATTATTATTATTAATTGTCTTACATTATTCACAGCATCTACTGTCGGTATGTCAACCACACACAGGTATGATGACCAGGTGAGTGGTTGCTTTACTGAAGGTTCAGATGGCTTCTGACATACGGCATGTATTCAAAATTACTGTCTTTTGCATAGTATATACATTCCTGGTATCCAGGTGAAGACGGATCACTCCCGTAGCTGATATATTATATAGGCACAGTTGTCACTTTACTGAAGTTCCACTGAGTTGCAACTTCATAGGCGAGATCGGTATACTTCTGGATCTTCTCTTGATATTTCCCGATATGTTGTGGTGATTGGGTATTGATATATCGATAAGCAAAACCTGCTGTTGGTTCTATCAATTGTACGTTATATTCGGTCTGTTGCCGCCGACATGTCTGTCAGTGATAATGGAACGATCCCAGTAGAGTGTGTGCTCACTACTTTCAAGCACATTCTGATGGCACATTTATAATACGCAACGGGAAGTGGCGATAAGCCGTTCTCAACGCCAATAATTGGTGTACCTGCTTCGCCACTTCATCATGCCTCTTTATGTATTCCACCTGTGTCGTGGCTGCTCATCCACTTGTCACGTGTTGGATAGTTTTGCTTGCAGCCTCAAATCTTTACAACGAGTTGGAATGAATGGTAGAATCTCTCAGAATGTGTTTTCTGTAGTTCAATTTGGATCCCACTTGTCCTAGTAGCTTCATGAAGGCTCTGTCTCCGGAAAGATCTGATCACTCTGCTGGGAGGATCCGTATTGGTATGCGTGCGGGACGCACGCAGTGACTCGTTGCTGGTTTTCTCTAGCTCGTGCCAGGGGTACTTGTTTTTCCATGTTAGTGCTTTTTCCTCTCCTTGGCTATTCCTCCTGTTCTCCAACTGATTGCATTTGAATCGCCCGCTTATTCGGGATCAGCTTTTCAAGTTCAGAGGACTGTGTTATCAACTGCGCTCACTGCTGCTGAAGCTTCCCACAATGTTTCCAAGAAGTATCTTCTGAGTGAAGTATTTTAGAGCTGTGTGATTTATGGGATCTACAATACTCGCCCTCCTTGCGACCTTGGAAGGGAAAAACGCTCAGTACTTGAATGGGGATGATGTTTTCGGTGTTGAGTCATACGGTTCGAATTGTTCTCTGGAGGTTGTCGAGGTCGGTATGCTCCATTTAATAACGCCAAAAGGAGTATGTCAGCACTGGAATAACAAATGAATTGATGGCCTGCACAAGGTTTCTAGCAGAGAGTTGAGTTTTTAAGAGCCCATGCATCGTTTACCACACTTCATTTGTTAGATATTTCTAGTAACCAGGTGTGATTTGAATTCGGAGTGACTGTTGGAAACCCAAGTATTTGTAAGGTTCATGGGTTCCATGAAGGTAATCTTTGGTTCATTATCAGTTTCCAAATTTATAACTTGCATATGACCCCAATGATATTCACTCTCCTGCACTTATCCAAACGAATTTCATCTTAATGTTGTCAGTGAACTTCTCCGCACGTTTATTAGTTGCCGCATATGACTCTCAGTGTCTGCATAGAGCTTCAGGTCCATCCATGTAAAGGAGATGTGAGACACGAAAGAAGAGTAGCGAGGGGATTCAAGGCTAAACAGAACAATAAAGGGCTTAAAGAGTCACCCTGGAGAAATCCTCGGCGGATGTGTTATGTATCTTGTGGACGGATTGTTTTCCATTAGAGAGATACAGTTTGTATTCCATCGACTCATCGCAGTTTTCAGGAAGTTTGGATAAACGGGTGGACCTGTTATACATCCAAACATTGAAGGAGCACGAATGAGCACGGTGTTGAATGCTTTAGCGTAATCTATGTAGCATGGCTACAGTTTCTTTGTTTTTCAAGCACTTGCCCCATAACTACAGAGTGTAATAATGAGTTGCTCCTTGCATCCCTGAGATCCAGGTCTACATCCTTTCTGTTCATTTGCTAAGATGTTCTGTTCCTCAATTGTGTCATCATAATTTGCGAAACACAAGATGTTATGAGTTTGTAAGAAAGTTTGAAGGCAGGTTATAGACTGTACTTTGAGGGTCTTTAGTGTCACCCCTCCTTGGTAACAAAAATGTTTACCTTAAGTGAGGAAGTGAGGTGATTTTTCTGTATGTGAAGAAATAATGAATTATATTAAGCTATATGATGGGATGCTGGTAATTTTTGAGCCAATAATTGTGGAGGCATCACTGCCTGGTGCCTTCCAGTTATGTGCTTTGTTCAAGCTGCTTGGACAATTTCCACGGTGATGATTGGTTCACACATTAGAGGGATATCTCGGTGTCTGTCATATTCCATTTCAATCCACGTCATATCTGGGTTGTGAGACACAGCAGATGACCAGATAGGCTTCCAAAGTCCTCTATTTGTGCCTTTGAGGAGAAGCTTTACTCTTCCATATCATTTACAAGCCCTTTGCCCTTTTGAAATATTCCTGTAGAATGCTTTCTGGTTTCTGTTAAAAAGAGAATTCTGTTGCTTCCTCGTAAGTGCAATTCCTGTAGCGTCGAAGGCGTTTTGTTAACGCCAAAAGCTTTTGTCGTAGGGTGTCAAGATGTTCTGTATTGTTGAATTCAAGGGCTCGTGCTTCGATGAATTTTTGTATTGATGAGGATGTTATTCACCTTCTTCTCAGCTTTTCTGAGATATTTCCATTTTTAAATTGTGTGAGTCTCCAATATCTCTCTAGTGCTTTCTATACGATTACCAGCCATATTTCTCAGTGGAATTCTTTTTCACTTCGATCATTGTGGGAAGTTGCTACGCGGCTGAAAAGCTTGGAACCGTACATCTTGAAGCCACAGCCGCAGCACAATAAATTGCTGTGTGTACTTCTTCGAAAGATGGTCTTTGTTGTAGATGTTGTGGAGTACTTTCTCATTCAAGACGCTGATTGCTCTTGCTAATTTCTTCGAGCAATTTTGTCTGGGAATGAGATAGCGTTCAGTGGGTCAGTTCCTTCAAATTCCGCAAGTGCTACTGCAAATTCATTGTGAATTTCCACCTCTTCTCTACTCTTATCATCCATACTTTCTGACATGCTTGTCCCATTGGCATCCTGAGTTTGCACAGCTGATATCTCACTGCCCTCAGATTACTAGGTTCTGAGGAGTTAAGCATGTTTCTCACTTCTTCCTTGATTGCTTCCAAAACTGGTGCAGAGAGGAGATTTTTCTGAACAAATGCTCGACGCTGGTCCGCTTTCTTTGCTCACTAACTTCAGAATCAGGGAAACGGTGAAGAAATCTTTGATGTAACTTTTTGTCGGTAGGCCGTAGTTGTCAGTCTCCATTTTGGTATGGTTGTAGTATTCACGCATGATGAAGGTATTTATTTCTATAGTCCACTTCATTCTTCTGCGTTGCCTGCCTGCGGCAGTGGTCTCTGGAAGCAATAGATTGCTTCTCTGGGAAGCACTTGCGGCAGGTGCAGCTATAAGTGGAGATGGATGGGTGCTGCTATGTTTCGGCTGTAGTATATTCGGGTTATCCCCGATCAGGTCCCGCCTGTTCAGCTCCTGATCACCACCGGCTCGCATGCTGTCACCTCCAGCGGTGGCTCCAAAGGTGCCCAGGCGCTACCCAGGCAGCGGCTGCTTTTCCGAGGCCTTACGACGGATATTCCGTGTCTCCATATCTCTATGGTGTGCCATCGCCCTGTTTGCCGCCAAATTTTCTGACGTTGCCTGTCTCCCACGTGACTAAGTTCCTATTGCTCGGACGTAGGGCTGGGCTTTGGGGGCTTCATATTGTTATTCTTATTACTATTATTATAAGACAGTGTCTGTCGGGTGGTTTATGAACAACGTCATAGCTTTCTGTTGTTCGATCCCCGACCGGGTCAAAAGTGAAGCTGCAGTTTTCTGATACAAATCGTTTCAGTTTTTATAGCTACGAGTCGAAAGAAGAGGCTAAGTAAGCTAGACACGGTAGTGGGAATACGACATGCTCGCTACACGTCATCCTCGTCCCCAGGTGTAGCTAATAGATAAAAGCAGGACTCAGACTTGGGAACACCACTAGCTAGCAAAGCTCACAGGAATTCGCCCATTAGTTGCAAAATAGTCCATTCTTATAAGCCGGGTTTGAGCGTACTCACCTGCGCGCGCGCCTGCTCGCCGACGAGGATGACGTCGCGCGTGGCGTCGTGCTGCGGGATGTCGGAGATGAAGAGGCCGCGCGACGTCAGCCCGTCCAGGCCGTCGAGGAAGGGCGAGCCCACGAACAGAATGCTGTCCGACTCGGGGCAGAACACCATCTGGCCCTTCAGTTCCAAGCCCTGCGAGGACACGCCGAACAACGTTTTAGCGAATGGAGTAGGCCGGGGTGATCTATTTTAACAAGACGATGATTTTAACAAGACCATTTACATCTAAGTAATTCACACGTAGATATAAGAAGCGACAAGAAGAAATAAAATAAAAACTTGGAAGGGATATAGCTACAAGAATAATACCTTAAACAACTTATATACGAAGAATATATTTATTGTCTTCATTTTTTTTAAATGATGCCAACCTGACGGATGATGTTATAACTTGAACACAATTGATATCAACGTAACGGGTAATGCCATTCTCACCAATGATGTTATCAATGTCGTCATCTTACGGTTCTGGTGAATATAACGTCAACCTAACGGAAAGAAATAACAAATTATGTTGTATATAATGCTCTATTTCGAATAGGGGTACGAAACGCTTACTTTAGTTAAGGTCGTCGTAATTGTGAGAGTAGAAAATCCCGTTGGCCCATTCTACAAATTTCATTGAATTATCTCTGTACATCTTCTGCAAAACTATTTCTGAATTTGTGTATGCAGGCGAATCTAAGCATCGTGGGTTCAAAACCCATCAAAGATGGGGATTTTATGCGTCAATGTGTCATTCAGTGCAATCCTGAGATACAGTAAGCCCCCTTCTCAATGCGTAGAAACATATTCTGGCTTGAATATCATTACATTTACAGGAATTATGAGGTTGAAACATGGCGCAACTTGTTGTCATTTACGGAATACGTAGGCCGACGTGTCCATCGATCTGTGACTACTGAGGTACAGAAGGATCTCCAAGAGGATGGTGAATGTTGGATAATGAAGAAAAAAAGGAATCGTAACTGTTATCTCACCCAAAGTGAAATTAGCTGATACACGTGAAGTACAAAGGGAATTTAAAGCAATTAAATATGCTTCACAATCTCTTAAATATACAGTACGTAGCAAAGTGTTATTGATGTTGTGAGAAAACCACGGATAATTTCTTCACGCTCATTCACTTCATTTCACTTACGTCTATCTTATTACTGCAACCAACATTGCGAAAACATAGTTGGCTGACGCATAAACGGCATGAACAAGAAGCACAATTCCAGTGTAGCAACTAAAAAAGGCCATTGACTAGAAAAATATTAATGAGTTTGGCCAGTATCTGTTTTCTGATATTTAATATTTGATTCTCTTACGCTTTCATCTAGTAGCAAATTACAAAAAACATAGTCTTTGGTAATTTAGCATAATTCTCATGAATGATAATCAAACTTTTTCTCAGTTAGAATCTGAGATGTTGCTTCTGAGAACTTGTTTATATTTGTAAAATGAAAACTCAGAATAATACAAAAATTATAAAACACAATTCTACTACTTTTCTGAAACATTTCATGTTATTTATATAAATTGTCTTTAAACAATGTAAGTGCCATTATTTGTCCTATGAAGATGTAGCATGCTGTGTATTATAGAGAAAAAAGGAAATGCGATCGAATAACCAAACACTTTTTTATCATATCCTGTCTCATTTACAAACTACAACATTAAACCGCTAACAATGCAACACTTGAGACACGTGGCAAAGCTCTTGTGTACTTAGTAGACAATCTAACACAGGAAACACAGTCGTATTGTCTGTACAAAGCAGTTAGTGATTTCGGCAAGAAGTATTTCCTGTAACATGAAGTTCTTGTACCATCTCCTGTGGTGTGTGTCATACAATACTAAGTATCAGTGATGCCAAATGTAGCACTTACTTCACTACGTTACAATATTATGTCTCGGAAGTAAAATAAAAATTGCAATCCCAAAATTGCGGACCCGAGTATTACCCAGAAACCATTACATAACCAAATGTAATTCAATACAGGAAAGCATTCCGTAATGTATGTGACACATGATCACATCGGTTTAAACAACTAAACCTCGTGTTTTCTACAAATACAACTTAATAATTAATACAGTTCGGAACAAATTCCATTTATCGTGATTGTGGAATGGTTCAGTGTGAGACAGAAGTCACGTGATTAAACTCGCTAATTTTCGCTATGACTCAAACGTTGGAGTTCGCGCTTGCGCAAAAGTTCAAACGTGAGTGCATAGCGGTTAATAGCGAATAAGCTGTCGAATAAGTTTCTACTTTGGTTTCGAATAGTGGTTTTAAACTATTAACTCTTAATAATTAATTGTGACGTCTAATTCTGTTAAAATTATGTTTTACGTCACGTTTCGAATTAACAAACACTGGAAACAAAAATTGATTCTAAAACATCAGAGAATTTTGTAAGAGTTCACAAATGAGTAAGAACACTTATGCAGCTGGTAAGATACGTCTAAGTGACCCTTTCGGAAATATAAACAGCTACAATTCGGAGAAGATGAGAGCCTCTGACATAATAACTGGAAACACTAATAGTCACACAAGGTAGAAGAGACCGTTCATCTCAGTTTCGATTTTTGGTCGCGTCAGCTACTATGCCCGATAGTCTCATAAGTACACTTCGCGTTTTTTATCGCGAGAGATCGCACTGTTCTTCCCTCGCTGGACGTTATGTCCAGAAGCCAAATCACACGGCTTGTGGTGTCTTCCCCATCTACATTTCTCCCACCCGCGCGTCACCCCCAACTGGGAGGGCCAGAGCCGGAAGCCCACAAGCTCTAAACTCCCTTCTAGCCTCCCGACATGTAGTACATGTAAGTGAGCGTGAGTGAAAGAGGAGAGGATAACCCAAGGAAGAGGAAGGAATGATCAAACGCGGTCTATGACCTGTTTGTTGAGGTTGTGCTCGGCCATTCGCCTGTCACTGATAGGAAAAAACTCGAAAAACATCCCATCAGAGCAGCCGGCCGCTAGAATTCTTCTCCAGACCTCGACTGAATTCGGTCTAGCTATACTGCTAGCATCGAAAATAATATCATCGTAAAGACACAAATCCTAGGTATTGCCGATCACAGACGTTGTTGCAGTGACATCAGTTGAGACCCTAAGTCACTCCATCGGTCTCAAATATATATATATATATATATATATATATATATTATATATATATACATATATATAATTATACAGATCGAATTCAACTGCTGTCTGGACAAGAGTTCTAACGGGTAGCTGCTCTGATCGGTAGTTATACGTACTTTACCTGATCAATACTAGGCAAATGCGGAGCAGCACCTCAACAAACGGGCCACGGTGCGATCTTTTCTTCCCATTCTTTGTTCTATCCTCATCCCTTATTTTCACACATATACATAGACTACTCTTCCACACATGCCGGAAGACCAGTCAGGAGCTTAGAACTTGTGCCGGTGGCGCTAGTGGGAGATACATGCTTTGGGTAATACGTGCTAGCCGACATGTATGTCGACGCTGTATCTCACCATCTAGTGGGGGAAGACCACTGCCACTTCCCAAGGAAACACATGCGCTACATTAACAGGTTTAATAATCTTACCAGGTGACGCGACCGAAATCATTAACCAATCAAACAATAATAGCTAGAGATTGTAATCCCTCATTTTGTTTTGTCTGCGTCAGTAATTGCTGCACTTTTGTGCTTTATGTGTTGTTTCTTCCTAGAAATGTGAATGATATTTGCGGCGAGGCGGCCTCTCGAAAAGCTAGAAGTCGATGGCTCTGAGTAGGCATTCAGTGTAGCACCAGATGGAAAGTACATGGGTGTGCAATTCCTCCGCACAGATATTTGCTCGTTCTGCGCAACACCCAATACGTCACGAATGATGTGACCGCGTCGTTAGTCGCCATGTTGCATGACAAGCGATGTCTTGGTAGAGACATTTTGAAAGAGGCATTAAGTGTCACATTTCAACAGCGATCAATAAAAAATAACACGATGAAGGTGTAGTTCAAGTCACATTTAAAAAAATGCTTCTTATATGTTTAAATGTCTTTTAACTAGGTGCTGATGTACATGGTATCTGGCTGCATTTAATAATTCACGTTAATAATTTGATGAAAACTGGAGCATGAAGCTCATTGGCTGAAAACGGAAGGCTGCGCAACAGCACACTCATGACATTGCGGCATGGTGAAGCTGTTTTCCTCCTCCGTGATGTCAGTAGTTTGCATACATTCCTCAAGCGACGTCTATCAGTTCAGAGTATACTACGATTTAAGAATGGTTAAACTTCAAAGTCACGAGCTGAACGGAGAGGGAAACATTGTCAATAAATCGCAAGCTCCTATACAAAACAAAATGTGATAGCAAAGCTCCCGAAACCCGACAGTGAGCCCATTTCCATCCAACATACGTTCTTTCGTGGCGCAGTGTTTAAATCGGAGTATATATGTTGATTAAAATATTACACAGCTGTTTTCCAATCGAGAGCTTGAACGTGACAATAGTGACGTCATAAAACGGACGTTCAAGCTCCCTGATTCGATGCCAGCGTCGCAGATAACTAAGTGTCATCTGACTTAATGTTTTAACCGGTTACTGCAATTTAAACCTTGAGTCTGTGGACGTAAATTAGCTGTTACGGTGTCATCCAATTGGGAGCTTGGGTGACACCTCAGAGTACTATTTACTTTCAAGCTCCCGACTGAATGACAGCGTCGCAGCAGACCAATAGACTTAATATACTGTCAATAGACTGCCAATATACTGTCAATATACAGTCAATATACTGTCAGTATACAGTCAATATACTGTCAATCAACTGTAATATACTGTCTATAGACTTAATGTTTTCATCGGAGCTTGGTGTCGTGGGGCGAGTGTGGGCGTGGGCGTGGACGTGGGCGTGGGCGTGGGCGTGGACGTGGACGTTGGCGGAGGAGGGAGTGGTGTGGGGGTGAGAGTGGGGTGAGGGCGGGAGCGGGAGCGGGAGCGGGAGCAGGGTTGCGGGGTGTAGGGGGCTAGGGCGCGGGCGCGGGCGCGTGCTGACCTCCGCGGGCGAGGGCGCGGCGCCGGGCGGGCGCCGGATGGCGAGCAGGAAGGAGGTGTTGGTGCGCTGCGCGATGGCGGCGAAGGACAGCGCCACGCCGCGCGGCCGACGGAACTCGAAGTGCGTGGGCGCCGCCGTGCCCAGCGTCGCCAGGTCGCGCCCAAACACGCGCATGAAGCCCGCGCCCAGCTGCAACGCACACAAACACACACGCACAACGCATTTCAATAAGCAGCGGAAACACTCCAATGTTGTTACGGTATTTATTTAATCAAATCATAATTACATTACACAGGAAAATCAATGCATTCTACCTACAGTATAGAATTAGCAACAAAAAACGATTAACAAAACAACACAAAATGATTTTTCAAAAAGTGGCTGCACACTACACAAGAACTATTAATAAAATATAACTCCCAACAAATTTAGTGATTTAACAAAAAGAGTCTTCGCGAATGTTAAGAAAACGTACGCCTGGAAAGTCTCTCCGCACCCAACCGAATGAGGGCCTCTCATTAAAATTAGTTTATCTTGTTAGAAACGACATCCTTGGGAAACAAGAGAAGGGAACAACATTCTATAATCTGTTATGAATGTGACGGGAACACACCATACGTTTTCTGTTGTGACAAACTGCAGCACGTGCGATCCACATAATTTCTGTTGCTAGTGCTCTAACAAGCCAAGTGCCACTGCGTAGAGACTTTCCTGGTGCACTGTACATACAGCTAAATATTTCAACAATTCTTTATATACCAAAAATAGTTGTTATTCCATAAAGCAACATGTGAAGAGCAAATATTTAATTGCGCTTGGACTCTTCCTTGATGATTTTCAGTGGTCCCTGTGTTGTAAGTAGTGACGCACGAAGTACGAGAATTCAGTCGGTATGTGCAGTACGAGAATAGACGGTATGACACAATCAAATATTTTTGTTTTCTTCAAAATAGAAATTGTTTCAAAGTTTTTGAAGTTCGCACCGAGCAGCCGTGCCGTGAACATCGTACGCCACAGCTCTCTCACTGCGTAGTAGATCTCTTTGTGACTCCGAGGTGAACGGACGTATTTCTGTTTCCATCCCGCGAGTGCCGAAACGTAAAGTGGTAAACAAACAGTTTTTTCTAGCTTGTATCGAAAAATATATCTAGTATCCTGAATAAATTGAAGTAATTTCAATTCAAATAGTGGTGTACTAAAGAAAAATAAGTGTACGATTAAATTAGTGATGGCCTCGGCAGTGGCCCATTGCGAAGCATAGTGGGACCGTCGCAACATGGATCAATATAATGAAGCTGCCGCAAAATCAACAAATAATGTTTCCAGCAAACAGTTTATCTCTCGAACAGCAAAAACATATAATTGAAACGTTCAGATCAGCAAATACAATAACTACTTGAAACAAAAATTATCCCCGAAAACCAGTTTACAAGCGATGTTCAGCCAATGGAAGGCAATCAACACTTGTAAGTCAAAACTCTTTTCAAATAAACAGAGTGATCTCAATTAAAGTACTGCAAGTGGTGTCCACTAATTCTGGAAGATAAGACAACTCTTTGGCAAAAAAGTACGTTAGGAAATACAAAAGTAAAATTTAGATGATCAGGACAGGACATCCGCGCCAGGGAAGATAATTCTTCTTTCAATGTCGTGACTACAAACATATTTTAACTGCTAAGTAGACAAGAAAAATGTTGAGAACATCACAACCAACAGATCTAATAAGCAAAATAAAACCTTCCGCCTAATATTCATTCCAGGAGTAGAAGATATATCTGGAATGAAGAACATAATTCAAGAAGTTCTTAAAACAGAAGTCTCACTTACAAATTGCTTTAATAATCAGCCATGTAAAATATGCCTGGCAACATCCGATGCATTTCGCACGTCGTCAAGCACTTGAAAACAAGAATATTATGTTTCATACACATATCAATGAAGAAGCATCGAGCATCAGAGCCTAGTATTGAAAATATATTCATCCCGTCAACATGTGTTGCAATGCTCAAGAAGAATAGAAAATCTTGGTTCACAAAGTTCGTCAAAACTTTATAATGCTAAACATCAGTTACTAAGGCATAACCATTATCCATATTTTTTGTTGACCTAGAACAAGCCAACCAACAATAAAAAGTATTTATGAAATAAATCGTCCTAACAACTGTATAGTTTTCGTTCGAACCTTTCGCAAGAAGAAGGAAATAGTACATGTAAAAACTGCTTGACCTATGGTCCACACTAAAAGTTATTGCAACGAAACAAAAGGCTGCAATGCGGTGGGCGGAGAAGACCGCATTGAAGTTGTGATAAAGCAAACGATAGCATGCCAATGTGCGAACGATTGCGAGAGAAGACCCGTCCAACATATAAGGATGTATCATATATAAACTTCTAAAAAGAAGAGATTCCCTGACACAAAAAATATTGCCAATCAAAAACAATCCAAATGTCGTTCATCAGAAAAAGAACTTTCCGCCACATTTCTCAAGAAAACACAGTGCAACCTTCTACCAGGAATCAACAATGCTTACCGGCGAACTCTTTCTAACAACCAGCGCCTGCGGAAAGTGAACTTGCAAAATATGTACAAGAATCGTTCGCAAATTTGAAAATCTACTTAGTAAGCGAAGCGGAACAATAAGCACGCTAATAAATCTCATGGTCGGAAACTTCTATCAAAATGAGAAGGCAGTTAATCATCAACAGCCTGGAATGCCAAACGGTCTCGAATCGAGAAGACGAAGAATCGAACTTTTTCTCATAATAATGAAATAGATATATTATTAGTGTCAAACGCACTTGACGACTAAGAGCCATATTAAATTCCCGACTTTACTACGTATTCAACAAATCATCGAGTGGAATGCCCATGGAGGCACAGCGCATCATAAAATAAGAAATTCTATTAGGAACCATGAAAATAGAGAAATATTGTGAAAACATTTACCAGCAACGAACAATCCAGAATCATGACTGCATGGACCCTTAAGCATTTCACCGTCTATGTCCACCTAAACCTAAAATAAAGTGAACGCTTTCCAAAACTTTTTTTGAATGCACTTGGAAACAAGATTCATCGTCGGGTGGAGATTAATTAATGCGAAAAATCGACACTTGGGGTTCCCAGGCTAAAACAAACTAGAGGTGGGAGGAGTTAAAAAATAAGCTATTAATTCCATGAAGCTTGTCGTACCAATCAACGGGCAACTCTTACTGGCCAACAAGATACTGTCAAAATTCCAGATTCTTATGATTTCTTTATGTGAAGGGCATTTCTTCCATTTATATACAAACTGAAGCATCGCTTGATCTCAGCTCCGGACAACACTCCTATATCTAAAAATTAGTAGCTCCATACGATCACTTCAAGAGAACAATTGAACTAACCACTCAAAACTGACTGGGATCACTTCGCCAGCTGTATATAGAAGAATAATTTAATGGTTCAAGCTTCCACTGAAGATTAAAGATGAAGTAGATGATGCATGTGGAACATTACGAGATGTATAAAGACGCAGCATGGCATTCACTCTCAAATTTCAACAACAAAATGAAAAAGTACTTTTCCAAAGCATATCAAGGAAAAGTTTGGCATCAAAAGGAAACTAAAAAGAACCTACCAAGAAACAAGACCTCCACTAAGATAAAAGAAAACTGAACAGAGGCAACTAGCAGATTTAAAAATTGCACTCAAACTTTGAAGAATAACGAAATGAAAATAATATTCTTAGGGAATCTATCCCCCTTTTTAAAGAATCCGCTTATTCTTGTGGAAGGCAACTAGAAGAATTAAAAGACCACAACTCAACCAATTCCCCCTATCGCAAAGGAAGATGTTCTGGGCAAGAAGTAACGCGGAGAGGCAGTAGCATTTGCCACACCTTGCAAAGTATTCCAGCCTTATCTATCAACTGAACGCAGCACGGAACGGTGAGATACGAGCATATCTTGAACTCCTTGCAAATGTCGCTGCCTTCAGCAATTCACAACTTATGAAATAGAAAAAAGCATACAAAACTTACCGCCCCACAAAGCCGGCGAACATGGACTTAATAACGGCGAAGTGTTTGAAAAGAAATTACCAAGAAGGCAAAATACTAATAACTCTCAATATTCACATCCGCAGTGATTAAGAATTGGAGCATTCATCCTTTCAATGGAAGGTAGCTCAGATAATTATTAATCAACCGGCGGTAAAACCAACTCATGACGTCCATCCTACAGACCTATGCATTTACTACCAACAATCTCGACGGCATAGAGAAGCTGCTTTTACAACGTCTAAACGTCACCCATAATGAAAATAATCTTATACCCCAACTCCAGTTTGGATTCAGGAAATTTCACTCTACAATTTCGGGGAAAAAAACAGTGCATGAATAGTAAACGAATTAATAAGTCTGGAAGAAAGCACATACTGTTCAGCCGCGTTCATAGAATGTTCGCTCAAGCGTTCGGATAAAGTGTGGCACCTGCGCCCTTATATAAAATTAAAAGAACTACCATCAGATATTCTACATTATTTTAAAGTAATATTCTTGAAAGGTTTTTCCAAGTAAAACAACAAGAAGCTTACTCCAAATTACACCCCGCACAGTCTGGTGTGCCAGCAAGGAAGCGTTCTGGCGTGTCCTCTATCTTCTTTTCACAGCCAGATCTTCATCATTAAAAACGTCACAACAGCAACATAACCGGACGACCCAGCGGTAGAATAAACGAGTCACGGGTGAAGAGTCCTGTAATAAGAGTGCATACTGTAGTGGCTGCAGAACACTTAACGCAACAAATCTATTCATATATGAATTTAAAAATGGAAATCCGAGTGAATGAAGCAAAGTCTCCCACGTGGACCTCAGCAATAGATTAAAGAATAATGCGCTCAAGTCAAATGAATGATGAACTAATTAGCCCACGCACAGGCAGACACGGTAAAATATCTAGGTATGCATCTAGATAGACGTTTAACGAGGAAAAGAGACACATAACCACTAAAAGAAAAGAACTAGACCTCGAAGTTCAAAAGATGTACTGGTACTGAGGACGCAAATCGGGTTTGTCACTCAAAAACGAAAATATTGCTTGTACAAAGTAGCAGCTTAATCCAGATCTCTGGACCTACGGCATTCACCTATGGGGATACTGCAAGCAACTCAATCTAGAAATATTACAAAGGTTTCAGTCATAAGCTA